TGGCCTTTGCAAACCATTAAAAAAAAAAAAAAAAGACAGATTTGAGAAAGGACCACAATGAACAGGAGGTCTGAGGGGACATAAGTAATAGGTTACTTTGACTTCATATTTATAGTGCTGGCTATAGAACCAAGCTACTTGAGCATGCTAGGGAAAAAATCAATCAAACAAACAAACAAGACAGTGCTCTACCACTGAGCACTGTCTTCAGTACTTGGCTAGCTTTGGAAAGACACTGTATCATTTTTATCCCCAGGCATTTTTGTCAAATATTCTATAATTGTCATAATTTTTGAAAAACATTTGAGAATAGGATTCAGTACATACTTTCAACTAATTTGAGAACCTGGACTTTTCCTCTCATTGTCTCCCATATTTTAATCTATCTGAAGTTAAAAATATAATAATAATTCGATTTCAAAAGAACTTAGTCAATTGATTTAAATTTATTATATTGAGATTTAAAAAAAAATGACCTTTAACTTTGATGTTTATGCCAGTTAACATTATTGTAAAAGTAAGTGCTCCCCCACATGATCTGTAAAGCTAGTGTCAAAAATAGCTATAAACAAACTTAGTTGCATTTCTTTACCAGAGTTTCTGGATGTCAAATGCTGGCAATCAGTGTCCATGTTGAATGTTACGATGCTCATTTTTCTTCTGCTAGACAAACTTCAATTGCCATACGAAGGGCCAAATATATTTCATACTACAGTATCTTTTTGCAACACTTAAATAGAGGACAGGAATGCTAATAAAAAAGAAGTTGAGTAAATCCATCCTGTTTGAGGTGAGACATGCAACACACTGAAAATGAAGACATGTTGGACAGCAGTTTCCTGGAACCTCAGAGAAATAGGATAATTACTTACTATTCTGGAGTTTTGTTCTATTTTTGCTTATAAAAGCTTAGGGATCTTTTTTGTCAATTGTGTTCTGTGGGTGTAATTAAGCATGAAGTGACGAAAGATGTGTAGGCATCTATTATGCCAATATTATGATTGTGTTATTTGTCTTACATATTTTTCACAATCTTTGTATATTCTGTTGAAAACACTCTGAAACAAGTAGACAATTATTTCACTTTTATCAGTAATTCATTTGACACTTTATTCTGAAAGTCTAAAGTAACGAATTTGTATAATTTGGGTAAGGGGTAAGGCAGGGTAACTGGAGAACATGAATGCTAGAGATACATGGTTAATCACCTTGGTCGCCATAAACAAGTCTCTTTAGACCTGATATTTCTATTATAGAGACACAAAAACAAAGAAAGAAAGGAGTGGTAGTTGATGGACAGGGAGCTTGGTGGTAGTAGGTTTTCTTTCTTTTTTTTTTTTAAGCGATGTAAGTATTGCAAATATTCGTTCACAGAGAAATGTATTTCATCGTTTATTTTTCACACATTGTGTCATAATTTCCTCATTGTTGCCTTCATTAATTTATTTATTACTCACTTTACATCCTGACTGTAGCTCCTCCACTCTCCTGTTAGTTTCTCCCTCACAGGGACCTCTGAGAATGGGGAGGTCCCTCCCAAGGAAACAACCCATTCAGGCACCTCAAGTCACTGCAGAACTAGGTACATCCTCTCCCACTGAGGCCAGACATGACATGTAATTTCCTCTTACTCATCTCTCTCTTGACTTCCCTTCACCCTTCGGTGTATTCTTTCCTCCTTCCAATTTTCCCCTTCAACTTTTATGACATTCAGAATATATAATATGTATCCTTTCTCTCTCTCTCTCTCTCTCTCTCTCTCTCTCTCTCTCTCTCTCTCCCCACCCCCTCCTTGGTTGTTTAGATTTTGTCTTCTTGTCTCACAGTTTCCTTTCTATTTTGATGTCTTACATATACATATGCATATGTGTATGCCCTACATAAATACATACATACATTCATACATACATACATACATACATACATACACACACACACACATTTAAATCAGCACTCTACAGAAATATTTTTCTGAGTCTGGCTTGATTTATTTAAGATCCTTATATCTAGGCCCATAATTTCCAGAAAGTGTTGTAATTTCATTCTTTATAGCTGAATTAATGCTATTGTGCATATATGCCCATTATCTTTGAATCCATTCATGTGTTGATGTGACTCTGGGATGATCCTATAACAAAATAATGCCATAGTGAGCATGGCTGGCCAGTAGTCCTCTGGGTATATACCAAGTGTGGTGGTGGAGGAGCTCAAACGATAGCTCTGGTTTTAGTTTTTTGAGGAGTCTCCAGACTGATTTGCATAGTGGCAGCAGTAGCACTAGTTTTCATTCCCATCTAAGGTGTATGAGGTTTCCTCTGTCTGAGCATGCTCATTAGCATTGTCATCTACCTGAGATGCATCTTGACTTGAGTAGGTGGAGTCAAAGCAATTTTAACTTGCATTTTGCTGATGCCTAGGATGTTGACTACCCGTCAGCCAGTGAATGGGTAATGAAATCTGGTACAGATATAAAATGGCGTACTACTCATCTCCAAAGAAAAGTAAACACGCAATTTTAGGAAAGCAGATGGACTCAAAATGTATTAATTGATATTAATTGAGGTCACATAATGTCAGAAAGAAAAATAACATTTTTCCTCTCATGTACGTCTAGTCTATTGCAGATATGTATATATGTAAACAAATATTCATGTGGTTAAAATATAACATTTAGAAAAAAAGGGAATAAAAGGTAAACCATAGGTGATAAGGAAGGATTAAATACAGGTTTATACAGTAAATCATGAACAGCGAATAATGAAAACTGATGTAATGCTAATTAATTGGATTTTTAGGTTTAATTGTCTTTTTTTTTTAGGTTTTGTTTGTTTGGTTGATTGGTTGTTTCTTTTTTGTTGTTGTTTATGTTTTGTGGTGGATGACCACATGAAAATATAATTCACAGTGAAAATACAGGATCCGTTGTGAAGCTCTACAGCTTCAGAATGGCTAGTCTTACTGTGTGAAAGTTCATTAAAATGCATACACTTACCATACGACTAATCTCATGTGTGATGTTGTCTATTTATAAGTTCTCTACAGAAAATTATAAATAAAAAATCATTTTACAAGCTCTGCGAATGGCTGTCTAAAAGCTTTTCTGACAGGACCTTAATGCACTAGGCAGAGTGTGCGAGATGCAACAGTAAATGGAGACGTGTCTTATAGTGCAAAAACATTATAGAATAAATATTGAAAATGAGACAATAATAAAGGGAGAAACATTGCATCTCTCAAGTAAAAAAATATGACGGAAGCTGGCCTGGTTGGGAGAGTAGCTCATGTGGAAGAAACTGAGGCAGATTCCAAATGTGAACAATCCCTTTCACCAGGTCTAAGGTGCCGTGTATGATAACCACTCAAAGATGACTTTCCCTATCAGAGGACAGTGCCTCCATCCCTTGAATTTTATTCATCAACTTAAAAAGAAAGAAACATGAAACTTATTTTCCAGTGATAGAAACATTAAGGTTTTGTTGTTTTGCTTACATACAATTGAATTTATAAAACTGCTTTTAAAAGTTTTATGAGTTGGCCGTTCAAATAATGCCTTTTCCAGAAGAGGAGAAATCTGCACAAGGAAAAGAATCCAGCTACTGTTGTCCCATCTTCTCTTTGCTAGATTTCTGTGCATTCCCCTTTGCTTTTCCTGGTCCCCACAGCCTGGTTGTGGGGAGCTTCCTCTTCTGTCTGCTTAGTCTAAGCAGTTTGCAGCAGGAGCTCTTCCTCTCTTCTTTCCCTGTCACTGATGCTGATGCTGAGTAGACTTGGAAGAACTCACACAATGTGGGGTTTCACTTTCCTATATGTCCTTGGGACTGGTTAGCTGCTGGTGTCCCATTTGGGGATGCTGAATTGCTTGCTTGCAGAGAAATGTTATTATAAATGTATGCCAGAGACTATAGAACGGTTTAGAGAGGTTCTGAGCTCTATTTACCTTATAGGTGAATTCTATAACCTGTGTTGGCCTAAATCTATTGACATATTCATACTAAACTGAGGTCTATATTTTAACCATCCAAGGTATAAATAGGCCCTGGCCATTTGTACTCGGGGAATGGGCACAGGGATTGGTTTTCTGACTGGCAGGTGCAGATGCTCACGGATCCCACACCTATAAGAAAATATCAACAATTATACAGGTGAAGTGGATCTGGCCTGTGGCACCGAGACAGAGGAAAATATTGCAGACCTAAGCCACAGTTTGGGTTTTTGGTTTTAAGTATAGTAGGATCTGGCTGCAATAAAATTGATACATGGTCTAAGATCACATTAAGGTCAGTGAGAGGGACAAATAGCAAGTAAACAACAACAACAACAACAACAACAGCAGCAGCAGCAATAAAGAACCAATCCAACCCTTCATAAAGTTTTTATTTTGGGGTGTGCTTGTTTTTTCCAAAAAAATACCTCTACTAAATCTCCTGTCAGTGCTGAAACTAGAAGGCAGAAAAGCTTCTCGTCCTACAGCCAACTGCAGTGTAGCCAGAGAAACAGGCAACAAAAATAGAACACCAGGATTGCTGTGCGTGGGTGAGGCAGAAACCACATTATGAGCAAAAGCTTCCAGTATTATTTTAGAACCAATACAGCTCTGCACTTCTCTGCTCTCTCTTCCAAAAACACATACTACAGAAATAAAATGAAATGTGTGTGCATCCTCCCTCCTTGAGTTAGGATTCTGCTTCTTTTCTCTTGATTTCCTTTCCTTGGAGGTGAGATGCCGGTATGAAAACCCAATATGTAAAACAAGTGGAGGGAGGAAAGAGTTAATTGCTTTTAAGGCCCTGCAATAGAGAATTATGGTTTGAAAGATAGAGGCTGGACAGCTGGCTTTGGTGGGGTATTTTTAAATGCATTAATGCAGGCTGCAATCACTCGGCCATGCTTGACCTATTTTTGGCTCAGGCCGACCATTGTTCTATTTCTGTGCCTGTGGGCCATGCTGTTGTTGATTCATATGCAAATGGATTATCACTAGCTTTAGCCAACTTGAGCTGAGAGAGACTGAGAAAGGGAAGAGAGAGACAGATAGGAGGACACCCTCTGGAGCCACTTGCAGGCTGAGGATCTCGCCTTGATATCCTAGCAGTCCAGGGAGCTAGATGCCTGGTTTAATGGTTTCCTTTCTTTTTTATCCTCATGGGTAGACTTAACGTTTTTCTACTTGTTCTTAAAAAGAAATAACCCCGAAGCACATTCCTTTTGCCCACCTGCTCTCAGTTTCCAGGATAACCTAAAACTCCAGCCAGCTATAGCATTCACTCTGCTCTTTCTGCTTTGCACACAGGTTGGTAATTGGAGGGGTTTGGGGGGGGGATGCCCAGGTCTTTTTTTAAAGGGTATGTCCATCTAAGCAGAAAGGAAATTATTGTGGAAGTTGATCCTCCGCTTGCCGTTTCTCCTCGGAGAGGAGGGAGGACCAGTGAGGGTAGCTCTTGGGACCAGAGAGCACTGAGCAGTGATGAATCTTTCATGGAGCTGAAGTAAGAGTGACTGGAGTATGCTGCAGACAATTTACGAGACTGACTCCTGTGTTTCCTCAGATGGAGTGGCCGGACGGGAGCAGCTCTTGGCTCAGCAAAGAATGCACAGTATGATCAGCTCAGGTATGGTCTCTTTTAAAGCTGGGATGTTTATGTTTGAGAAGGCTGGAGGGGAGGCTGGTAGGGAAATGAAAGAAAGCAGCTTGCTTAAGGAATTGCTTTTTCGGCTTGATGTTGATGTTTTGTTTTTTTTTTTCTTGGTGCCATTGAAGTGTTTAACTTAGATCCTTCTATTACCCTTTCCCTGCATATTCTGAGTGTGTTCAGGGAAGGCTGCTTCTGAATGAAATTGCAAAGTATTGCTTCTGATGCCAGGGGACACTAATACAAGTAAAAGTCAGGTGTTTGCCTTACTGTGCAAGTAGAGAAAAGGAGAACTGTACTGATTGTTAACACATGCTAGTGGGACTTTAAGTTCAGCTTGGGGCTTCGGTTTAAAACGCAGCTTCAGCCAGCCAGATGACTGTATGTTTACAGTGTGCATACACAAGCATGACTATTTATAGACCTACCTTCTGAAGGATGTGTCTGTGGGGTTCTCAGGTAGTTTTATTCTTTTCCGAATGTAGCGTTTTCCTCTGAAGCTCAGGGTGAATTTGTTTTAGATGAAACAGAATTATTACCAGATGCTTATTTTAATTTCTCTCCAAACACTTGGGAAGTCTAGCAGTGCCAGGCAGGTGCACGCACGCAGACACACACACACACACACACACACACACACACACACACACACAAAGAAAGAAATGTGTTAGAAGCAGGTTCAATGCTTTGTCAAATTCTGACAGGATCAAATTCTAGTTTATAGTTTTTCTGCACATGCTTGAGCTCTCAGAGATCGTCTGATGGGCGATGGGGCTTGTCCACTTTACGGGTTTATGTCTATTAAAAGTTCCCACTCTCCAGGCAGTCTGATGTACTTTAATTACTGCTGTTTGTTATTTGTTTTCTATAACCAGTTCATAAAGCTCTTATCACTCTGTTTCTGCCATCTTCTGAATGCTGCAACCTAAGTTGGTTTAAAGTTCTTCTTTGGAGCTTCCGAGTTCCCCCCTGTGGGCTTCCTCTCAGTTGTAGATCACTGCCTACATCCCCTATAAGAATGTCACATAAAACAGCTTTTACTTAGTAGACTTAAGTAGGGAAGGAATATTCCACAGGTTGGCATGAAGTCGGCTTCGGTGCCTGTACACATTCCCATCTGCGGATCCTGTTCAAAGCCAGTTTTCTTTAAAGCTCTGTTCTGTGTGATGATTTTCCGATCCTCTGTTTACCCCATCTTTTTATGGAATCATAATGAAATGTCAGTTTTGTAAAATTTTGTATTCTACACCAATGCCACAGTAATTATATTCATGAGTGATGTCTGTTTGGCAAAATGGAACATACTAGAACATCCAGTTTGTTATCATTGTGACTGAAAGCTAACAAGGGCTCAGGGAGAAGAAGCTAGCAGGTGTGTCTGGGCTGGATCTGGACACTTAGCATTGCATTTTTGACATATCAACGCTAGAAATAACTATTTTATCTATCTCTACAGTACCATGATAACTTTTTGGTCTTTGTCTTTGTGTACAATTGTTTTATCTTTTAGAGAATAGAAACAGCCGTGTCTCGAAAGTAACAACTGTTAGCTGACACTGGGCTAGCCACAAGTGTGTTAGCAAGCTTTACATTTTGCCCATGATTTTGATAGCCATCCAACTTGATTCAAATCCCAGTAGAGATTGTCATTTACCTGACATTGAAAGATTAGTATGCAGCATAACAAGATTTTCAAACTGCAAAGCCTGCAAATTGCTTGGCTGCTAGCAAAGCACCTGCAGCTTCATACATGTAGCATACGGATAACATACACACAGGTAGCATACTATGCCAGCAAATGAAGAGCATTGTGGTAGTCAATGTCTTCCCAGCCTGTCACACAGCCCAGTCTGTCTGTTGCAAGCAGGGAAGGTCTAAATTGTACTTGTTTTTAAAAGTTAGAACTTTAATCAAATCCTTTCTATATCTCATGATATTTGATTTTGTTTCATAAATATGACCTTAGATTTCTTTCACTCAATCTTTTTTGTGCATTTTTGTTTCTGAGGCTGTGGTTCTGGATCACAGAGACACCAAATACATTTGCCGATATATGTTCCTTGGATTCCACCCTGAAGTTTCTCTTCTAATTTTAACTGAGCACCATAGAGAGCAGGTTTTAAATCTCCTCAGCCATTGTATGAAGAAATCTTGGAGCTGCAGTGATGGAGTTAGGGACTGAATAGTTGGTTCTGGTGGACCTCCACCAGATTATTATTTTTTTCCCTCTGGATTCATTATTAAATTAGAGATGCACTTGTCTTGACTGAGTTACAGATCTTGCTTTCCTCTTTTTTTCTGACCTGTTTTGAAGTACAGAGTAAGAAGTATAGAGTGACTGGCTGATAGAACAGGTGTATGTGGTGATGCTGGGAGGTAGAGATGCTGTCCACAGACTCACATGCTGGTGAGCCTGCTGCCCACTAGTTGTGGAGTTGATTTGCTCATCTCCAAATAGTGATTGATGATGTGCACCTATTGGTCTGTCAGCATTCCTATGAGAGTCACATGTGTAGGCACATCTGTAAAGTGTATGTGGGCATATTTTTTTCCGAAGAGAAGAACTGGCTCTCCAATCTTGCTGAACAATCCAGATGAGTTAAATTGTCCACGAGGAAATATGTTTTTGGTCTATAGCTCTGTTTTGTTATTTTTCTTATAAATTTGCTATTTCCCTGGGTATCTTGTTTTCATAAGAACAAGGTCATTTGCTTATATGACTCATGACTATGTATCAGGGTAGGTTCACATGTGTGTGTTCTGTGAAACATATCATGATATAATAATCAAAGATGAAAAAGCTGACAAGTACGTGTTTAAACTGTGAAACTTCACTAGATATTTAATGAGATTATTTTTAAAAGTTAGTTTTATCGTACAATTGTGATTACCAATGTGTCAAGATAATATCTGTTGTTGATATTATATTAGGTATTGTGTGTTAAAGTATATTATTTTTGTTCAGAGATCTTTATATTGGATTGTAAACATTATATAGAGTTGCATGCTTTCCTAATGATGATGGTCAGGCTAGACATCAGGTAGGATAAAGATGGTCTACAGGAATAACACGGTCTGCTAATGTCTTAGTTTAAAATGTTCCACAATATTGAATTTTCAAATCCATTAAGAGTGATAATTTTTTGCCAGGTACATTTCCACATTTGTGGTTTGTGTGGACCTTGCACAAATATTGATTCTAGTCCGTGAGCAGGAGCAGGCAGAATGAGGCATAGTTTTCTGTTGTCAGGCTTGTTGCCTAGCATGTTGGACAGCAGAAATATTCACTCAGTGTTGGGCAAGTTATGAAGGAATTGCCTCAAGTTTATACCAAATTGCTGTTAGATATAATTAAAATAAAGAAAAACCATATTCATTATTTATTTTTACTTTTAATGATAAAAACATTTAAGGCTAAATTCTGGCTTTTTATTAAGATATGTCTTTACCTTTCCAGAATTTAGTGTCTCTTGGTGTGTCATACTGAGAGAGATGGACCATTCTGGATTTATTAGTCAATTGTATCTACTTGAAAGCTAGAATCTAATTATGAAGTAGTCTGTGAAGGCTTATATTGAATAAGAACCACTTCTTGTCTGACCTGTAATTGCTATTTTCCAGTTTTTTTAACTCATGTTATTGTCACCTTAAAACTTATTATCAGTTGGAATATTCGATGAGACTAAATATAAAACTCTTCATAAGTAAGTCTGTGGGCAACAGGTCACATGAGTGTATCCGATGGCTGAGAACCACCCAAGTGCCGTAATTAGTAGTATATACATTCGCTAAGACTAAAATGTCTACAGGACTTCTAGAAAATGACTTTAAAATATATTCTAAGTGGCAGTTTGGAATTTTGTGACGAAAATGTAAAGATGTCCTGCAGACACACTTCCTCGCTACTGATGGCTGTTGACGTGGGGCTCATAAAGATATAAGCTAACAAACAAACACAGTCCACCAGACAAGGCATTAAACAGTTAAGTGCAAAGAAAACTATGTGTGTCATGCTTCCATATCTAACCATGGAAAACTATTAGAATGTTGCTGGCCTACTGATAGATTCCTAAGAACTCTATTATCCCCAGATCTGGACAGGAGACTGGGTGAGATTTCCTGCGTTGCATTGTTCCTTTTCTCCCACATGACAGAAATGCAGGAGAAGGAATTTAAAAAGATAAGGCTAGTAAAATGGGGGAACGGGCTTAAACTGGCCCTTCTAGAGAAATATGGGCATATAAGCAATGCCCTAGCTGAGCTTTAGAACAGGGTGTTCCCACCCAGCTAGTCTTAGGGTTTACCAAAAAGAAAGCTTTCAAGATTTTTGGAGAAATGATAGTCTAAAAATTGCTTCCCAGAAAATAGCATACCGTGGGAAGCAAATAAACTCCACAAAACAATACCTGAAAGAAGAGCATGGTAAAACTATAGGATGAGCTGAAAAGGTGAATGTTTATTAAAGGGATCGCCTAAGAATGACAAAATCATGATCATGGCAGAGCCAAATTTATCATTGGAAATAGCAAGAAACTGACAAATGGGGGAAGGTTTGAAAAAGGAAAGTGGCTTAATATAAATAGAGGAAAGATAACACAGTGGAATAACAAAGAGCAGCAAACAAACTGGTCATTTGTGTCCCAGAAGTTAGTGTTTCAAAGTTGTCAATGAAGATAAAAATGTATATAAAGTGAAGATGTATATATATACATACATATATGGATATATATAATATTACATATATTATATATAATGAAGATATATACAATGCACATAGATGGATAAATAGATGATAGATAGATAGATAGATAGATAGATAGATAGATAGATAGATAGATATAATGAATGGTAAAAAATAAAGAAAAATTTTTTTGAAAAAAAAAATAAAAGAAATCAATGATTCACAAGAGCAAGCACAGGATGTAAGGTCACTTGGGAAGGAAAGTCTCCACAAGATGGAGAAGAAACTGGGTGAAGCA